TCTATTCTATTCTATTCTATTCTATTCTATTCTATTCTATTCTATTCCATTCCATTCCATTCCATTCCATTCCATTCTATTCTTTGAAGCAATAATACATGGAATCTGCCTTTGCAGAGCTAAAGCTGCATGTTATTTCCAAGACCTCCACACCGGCTCCAGAGGCCTTTTCAGAAAGCGGACCTGACCCCTGGCTTAACTGGAGTGCAATTGTTTGGCATTGTGCCCACTGCTCAGGAAAGAGGCCGAGGGAAATGGAGGCGGTTGAGAACATCTGGCCGAGGAATCTTGGGAGAATGGCAGGGAGTGACCTCGGCCATTTCTCTTCTTGTAAATTGGTGATTTGTGTACCCTCCCTGACAGGCCTTTTATGGGAATGTCCATGAACTGTGAGCACCAAGAGTGCAAAACGGGATGCAAATGGAGGGCCGAGGACTTGGCTCCCAGATCTGATGGGTTAATTCATGGCATATTTGAAGGTGTTGAGTGAAGAAGAATGTGGCTGCATAATGAGATTAGTTGTAAAATTTGATCCTTCCTGGACTTGTTCAGCTATTGAAATGTGCTGATTTCTCCCTGACCCTCCAGGATGGGTCCCTGCAAACCGGGGGCCTTTCTGCCACCGGTGCCCAGCCAGCCTCGGGGGATTCAGGATTGGTGGGGCAGTGGGTGGAACCGCCCCCCCCTCTTCCCCGGTGCTTCACAGAGGAACTTTTGGGGCTGAACTCAGAAAGAGACACGAGACACTTTTTGGGAAAGAAGGGAAGGGGGAGAAAAAGCATTTTGGGTGTTCAGCAACTGGCCTCCCTTTGCAACTGTTTGCAGCATCCCGTGGTTATATAACCACAATTTATGGCTTCTTCTTCTTCTTCTTCTCTTCTCCACCCCTTCCGGACAAGGGATTCACTTAACGACTGTGGCCTTTGCTGGGTGACCTTGGGCCAGTCACTTTCTCTCAGCCCTGGGAAGGAGGCAATGGCAAAGCACCCCTGGAGACCCTGGCCAGAGGTGCTGCTGTCCTGGCAGTCTCTGAATCGGACACAATGAAGTGGGTGACAACGTTCCTTTCTCTGGAGTTGCTTCTCCGGGGAGCTTAAAGGCTCATATGGCTGGAATGTGGCGTGAGAAGTTTGGTGTGCGGTACAAGCTGTGACATACCATAAAAGCAATCCAAGTTGTGTCACTTGCCCCCCCCCCCCCCCTGTTCGTTCCACGGGCGGCTCCCCCCCCCCGGGGAAGCCTGGGTGACGCCTCCGCAGGGTGAAGGTGATGCCTTTCCCAGGCTGCTCCCACTTGCTGTGTTTCTCTTGCGCTCCAGGGCTCCTCGCTGTGGGCATCGAGACGCTTCTGCAGGGGCAGTTCAAGAGCCTGGCTCTTTACCTCCTGTGAGTATGACTCTGCCAGCCCCTCCCTGCCACCCCAGCCCCAGTTCCTGTGGAGGGGAGGGAGCCCTTGGCTCAAAGGGTGCCTCTCCTGAGGAGCATCGCCCAGCCGTGCCTGGGGTGCCTCTGCTATTCTAAAGGATGATCAAGTGAAGAAGGGCATTCTGAACCCCCCTATTATTGCACGGAGAATAAAAGGCTCCCTTCAGAATGGATTCCGGGCTTGTCTGCAAAGCTGAAGCTTCTCGGAGTCCCCTCAAAAGCCCAGACCCTGCCCACCTTCTCCTGGCCTCCTGGAAGTGAGTGGGGGGGGGGGGGGTGGGGGGGTTTCTGAGTGCAGAGGAGGCCCCATCCAGCCATTCACGCCCTAACTCTCTCTCTCTGGCTTCCCTTCACAGCACCTGGGCTTCCCTCAGGTTGCATGTCAGTGAATAATCAATAATAATAATACATAAATAATAGTGAATGGTGATGATGATGATGATGATGATGATGATAGCAGCCTTCTCAAGGAGGTTCTTTCCAGCCAAGAGGACGGAACCTGCCAGGGTTTTAGGAGTCCTGCAAAGCCTTCAGGGCCGGGAGGGAGGCAGCCCATTTTCCCTCCTCAGTAGCTTCCGCTCTCCTCCTTTCCTTCAAAAACTTCTCTCTGTGTTTCTAATGCAGGAGGGGTCCCCCCCCCCCCCCCGGCCTTCTTTCTCCATCCGGCTCACCCACCACACCACTTTAGGGAGCAGGGCCACCACTCACAGCCCCCGCCTGGTTCTGAGGCCGGCCTGGCTCTTTCCCCCCCTCCTCCTTCTGGAACAACACTGGTATGTTTCCAGCTGCTCTGTGCTTTATTATTTTTTAAATCAAACATAAGCCAATTGCTACATAAGAACAGGGAGGTTTGTTTTAAACCTTTCAGCCATGATCCCTCCACATTCTTGGTCTTTTTTTAAACAAAAAATACTAACAAAAGAGAAAAATAAAACCAAAACAATATAACTAAACATCAAAATTAAAGGGCTGCAAAGCAAAAAATAAGATCACTAACAAAACCACCTCCAAATGCCCTCTTCATGTTGTCCAAAGCAAAAGTTCTGATGTAAATATTGACAAGTAAAATATCTGTTGCTGTGAATGTGATACAGATTTATCCCCCCAATGTTAAATGTTATTGATGGCTCCTCCAGGCATGAAAAGTATTTGACGTCTTGAAAGTTTGAAAACAATGGGGGTGCAGCCAACCTCTGCATCTCCAATGAACTCATATTAAGTTAATATTCTTGTGGATTTGAGCCCAAAATGTAGCAATTAAGACAAGCAAAATAAAAATTCTGTTGTATTAACCTCATCATGATCTCATGTCTCACATTACTTAAAGAAACTCGTATCGATTCACAACAATATGTCATTTTTCTTAAAATTATGTAAAAAACATCCATTTCATTCAGCTCCTTTAATCCTGGAATGTCCAGAGATGGGACCAAATATATTTTATTTTCATTTTATTGGTGAAGTTTGTGTGCTGCTCCACTCCCGGAGCCACGACTGGTCCGTGGAAAACAACTTTGCTGACTTTGCAACGGGAATTTTCCAAAACTCCTCACAGATGCAGCCTTTCTGCTGAAATTGTGTAGATCTGGTTTATTTATGTAAAGGTTTGTGTGGCTGCCCATCTTAAACAATTCCAGGCAGCTCACAAATAGCAGCAAAACCCTAACTATAACACATGATCATAAAACATTCAAACAAAAGCAAAATTTTTGTAATCTTCCCCTTAGGATGTCCCACAGCAAACTCAAATACTCTCATCCCGTCCCGTCCTCTCCTCTCCTCTCCTCTCCTCTCCTCTCGTCTTTGTAAAAAGCCAGGCCTCGGTGGCCTTCTGGGAGACTAAAAGTGGGTGGTGGGGTGGCCAAATCACGGAGGGGGGTGGGGGAGGGAGATCCACCACGACTTCCAAGATTGATTAAATGTGGGAATACACACGTTGGACCCAATGCATCATCCCCCTCCCCATTAGTTACATTAATGGTGCTCCGTTTAGACCTCCATCTCAAAACAGCCGTGGGAATCCATTTGTGGATTTAATGTGAAAGCATATTTTAAAATTTGAGTGTCGTGATGTTATCCAGAACTTAAACGCAGCCTTAGATTAATGGGAAGAAGTGAAGGCTTCCCTCTCTCTTTCTGTCTACTTTAGATCTACTCTGACAAGGAGCCGCAATTGTTCATGTTCTACATAACACAGAGAAACAAGAATAAAGCTCAATAATCTCTCCCCCCACCCCCGTGGATAAAGGCAACAGGTGGTCTTCACTTAGTGAGCATTATATGGCTACAGAGAAAGTAGAATAATTTGGTTGGAAGGGACCTCAGAGGTCTTCTAGTCCAGCCCCGTCTGCTCAGGCAGGAATCCCTACACCATTCCAGACAAATGGCTGTCCAGCCTCTTCCTGAAAGCCTCCAGGGGTGGAGCAGCCACAACTTCTGGTGGCAAGCAGTTCCCCTGGTCCATCGTTCCACCTGTCAGGAAATTCCTCCTTAGTTCCAGGTTGGATCTCTCTTTAAAGAGCTTGTTCAGCAACCATTGGAACTTAAAACCACTCAAAGTGATGAAGCTGAAGTAGGGGTACCCACTTGATGACTGTCACGCACCTGCAGGTTCCATTATGGTCATAGGTTGAGGTCCCCCCCCCCCCCGGACTGAATTTCTGTCACTTGAGGTCTGCCTAACTTTTCTCCCTAGGAGGCTGGCGGAGACGGGAGGTCCGGAGCCTCCTTCCTGTCCTGGCACCCGGTCTGGGCATTCGGGGCCTCTGAGAGCCCGCAGGAGCCACCGGAATGGCTGGGGGGCTGCAGAAGGAGCCGGGGCCGCTTGGGGAGGGTGGTGGCGGCTTCCGCTTGGCCCTGGCCGGCCTCCCTTAACGGGTCCCCATCCTTCAGTCTTTCAGGGGTGGCCGTTTCTCTCTGGGAAGGGGCCTTCTTGGCCAGCCTCCTTCTGACCCCCTGCTTGGGGTGAGTTTTGCTCCTGCCCCTCCCATCAGGTGCAGGGCCTCGGGTGGGGGAGGGGGTGGGTGGGGGGGCACGCAAAGGGTCATTCAGCCTCGGGAGGGACCAGAGGGGTCGATACCAGGCACTGGAGGCAGTGATATGAATGCGGGGAGGGGAGAGAGGAGCCCCCCCTTGACCCCCCCCTTCCCTGAGCCCCCCCCCCCCGGCCCTTGAAAAGGCCCAATAGTTTTTGCTGGGGGAGGATAGCGGGTGGGGGGGGGAGGGCAGACCTTTCCAGCTTCAGCCCCTCTCCCTCCCTCTTGGCAGCCCCCTGAGGGGATCCCGGGTGGATGCTTGCCGGCTCCGAGCCAAACGCCGGGGAGCTTTCCAGAAGTTCCTGGCTTACGGCCTGCTCTCCGTCGCCTGCTTCCTCAGCCCTGTCCACGTCTGGCAGGTCCTACTCCCAGGTAAGGGGAGGGAGGGTGCAGAAACCTCCTGCTAAAGGGAGGGTGGGAGGGAGGGCGCCCAGGTCCACCCTCTGCGGAGGGGAAAGGCCTCCGGGGACAGCGGGGAGGCCACCCAGGCCATGGCCAGAGCAGAGGGGCTTCGGCCGAGAAATGAATGCTTGGCCTCTTCAAACTGCCCCGGCAGAGAAACCCCGAGTGAGGCTTTCTCTCCACGCGTCCTGCAAACAGATGGAAGGGATTAGTTGATTAAGCATCAGGAAGTCCTGATTTTAAAAAAAAGGAATATGCGGACATTATTGGAGGGAATCCAAGATCAAAACGATTGTCTGGAGAAGCAAATAGTTTGAGCTGCTAGATGGGACAATGGGTCTCCCTCTATATTTTGCCGTTTGTTTTATCCTAATCGGGGTAGCCTCATCTTCCTTCCTTCCTTCCTTCCTTCCCTCCTCCTCCTCCTCTTCCAGGCACCCTGCTCATCCTCACCAGTCTAGCCTATTTCCTGCTGAGTAGGCAACGGAAAGAAGAGACGGGAGATGGGCCACCAGAAGAGAGCGGTGACCCTCGTGACGAGGCTGCAGGTGAAAGGCCTGGAGACAGCAGGAGGCAAACCTCCTCCTCCCACCGTCAATCCAGCCCCCTTGCTGCCTCTCTGGGGAGCTTCTTCCAAGCTTGCCAAGGGCCAGTCGCCTTCCTGGCCCCCTCAAGCGTTGCGTCTAGGAGGAGCCCCGCTGACTCTGAGGAGCAGGCCCAGGAGATGGCGCTGCCTCTCCGAGGAGAGCCGGAGGGCTCCTTGGCCAAGGAGAGCACGTCCGAAACGGCCTTCATCCTTTCTGCCCAGGTTTGATGCCCCAGGGGGCTCACGAAGGAGCTCTTCTTCTCTTGCAGCCGAGGTGGAAGGCAGAGGCGTCTCTGGCCATGGCCAACAGCCGAGAATCCCGGCTGGTTGCTCCCTTCACCGCGCGTCCCTGCCACGTCCCCTGCGGTGTTTCCTTATTCAGGCCGTGGCTCTGGCAGCCACTGGAGGAGAGACCTTGTCCAGTCCGAGCAATGGGCAGCCTTGCCGAAGAGGAATATCTCCTTGGAGAGAGGAATATCCAGGAGGCAGAGGGACGTTTCTGGAAAGCAATTCCCATGATATATCTTTGCTATATCAAATGCTGTCAATCAGTGAGGCTTTCTAGGAGAAAATGCAGAATTATCCTTTGTCTGCGTTTGTTTGGGAACTTCCAGACTTTGGAAAGAGGAGGAGGAGAAATAAACGATCGGATCCATTGACTGGCCTTTCTTTTTCTTTTAAAGTTTCCTCCGGAATCAGGAGCTCTGGTACTTCACGGTCACCCACCCAACGGTCCTTCTTCTTCTTCTTCTTCTTCCGTTTCCTCTGCTCAGCCTTCCCGATTGCTTAGCCTCGTGTGGAGGGCAGTGGATGCTCTCATGCCTCCCTTCACCCTCTGGGAGAGGAGAACGTTGTGAAGCAAATAAACCTGGGATTTCCTAGAAGGATCAGGCAGGTTAAGCAAATGATTTGGGGATTACTTAGCAGGGCCAGCTCGCCCCTGGGGTTAAGACCGTCCGAATCTCCCACATCTCCCTTCGTCTTTCCCTCTCTGAAAGACCTGCCGTTGCTTTGGGAGGGTGGGAGGGGGCTCTAGCCCCCCCCCCGTTGCTTCTGAGAGCCCCTCCACTTTCTGCAATCTCCTGGTCCCCCCAGCCCCGCCTGGCTCCCTCGCTTGTAAGTCTGCGCAGGGACTTATAGTTGCGCTCACAGAGCAGCGCTTCCTTGCTTTCCAGTCAAAAGGAGGCGGTTGGTTTGTTCTGGGTGGAAAGAGAGCGATCCTCCCTGGAGAAATTCCCAACGGCCCAACGGAACAGCCTCCTGGAGTTGTGGGTGCTTCGTTGCTGGAGGTTTTCAAGAAAAGTTTGTCTGGGGTGCTATAAGGTCCCCTGCTTTGTTAGCCCTCAGAGCTTGGCTCACTTTGAGAGCTGACCCAGATCCAGGGCAATGACCCCGGGAAAGGTCAGGGGGCTCAAGATCAGTGAGACAAAGAATAATGAAAGGACGTATAAAAACATCTTCATTTACAAAGACCTGCGTGCCAATCCCTCCCAGTTCATTTGCAAAGCTGCTCCACAAACCTGGGAAGCCATATTGCTTGGGCCATTAATTTGGGTCACTTTTGTACACAGAGAAGGTGCTGATTGACAGGTGGCAGAGATCTTTGAGGATGACACCCATTCCCAGGAAGAGTATTTAAGCTTCCAGTGTCCAAAAAAGGCAATGTCAAGCATCGCATGGCTAATGTAGCTAGGACAGCTGAATGCATTTGCCTAGTTGGCCCTCAGATATTAAGCTGGACTTGGAAATGGCTTTATGTTTTGTTTTACATCCCTTCCAAGTTCTTGAAATATTCAGTAAGGTTGGACCAAAAGAAACAGCACTAGAATTCGGCACTAGGGGGCAGCAGTGGCCCTTGGTGTGCAAAGGAATCGCAAAATCCAGGAGTTTCCCTTGGATTTTGGCATGGATGGAGATGCCTGCGTGGGGCTCATTGTTCCGAGGAAGCTCTGAGGCAAACATGCGGCTCGGAGTCCTCAGCCGTTGGGCTGCTGGCCCATTTCACCCCCCCTCCTTTCCAGGGACTTTCACAGGTCAAGGCCGTCCCTTCCCAAAGATAACATGGCAGAACTTTTAACTTGCTCCCAGTCAAAATTACTCAGACAGAAATCTCAAAGGCGGCTCAGTCACCCAAAAGAAGAATAATCTGGATGTTTACAGAATGTTGGGCTAAAATTAAGGCCAGAACAGGATAGGATGGCAGCCTTCCAGTACCTGAGGGGCTGCCCCAGAGAGGAGGAGGAGGGGGCCCACCTGGTCTCCAAAGCCCCAGAAAGGCAGCAGGACACGAAGCAACGGAGGGAAACTAACTCAGGAGAGAAGCAACCTTCAACTGAGGAGGAACAGGGAGGACAGTGAACCGGGAGACACAGAAGCTGCGGGTCTCCATCCCTGGAGGCTTCTAAGAGGAGGCTGGACAAGCACTTCTCTGGAATGATACAGGGCAGTGGTGGCCGACCCTTTTTAGGCTCCAGTGCCAAAAATTGGGTGCGTGCTTGCACTCGCTCGCTCGCTCGCAGGCCAGCACCCAGAAGGCAATGTGCGCCCCCCTGCATCCCCTGCGCATGAGCATGCAACCCACCCACCCCCCTTACCTGCACTGCGCCTCACAGCTGATTTTCAGCCAGCTTGAGGCCTTTTTCGCCCTCCCAAAGGCTTAAGGAAGGCACCTGCAGGCTTCCACAAGCTTTGTAGGCCAAAAACTAGCCCCATTTCATCACTTCCTGTTTTTTCCGAAAATACCAGAAGTGACAAAACGGGGCTAGATTTCAGCCTCCAAAGCCTGCAGAAGCCTCTCTCGAGCCTCTGGGAGGCCAAATAAGGCCTCAAACCAGCTGAAAAATCAGGTGTGAGGCACAGTGCACATGTGCAGTGAGGTAAGTTTGGCTGCAGCTCGCGTGCCAGCCCAAATGGCTCTGCGTGCCACCTGTGGCACGTGTGCCATAGGTTGCCATCATGGATATAGGGTTTCCTGTGTCAGCAGTGGGTTGGACTAGAAGACCTCCAGGGCCCCTCCCTACTTTGTTATTCTGGGTTTTCAGGTGTGACTATTCTTAGATGGGTCTCATCACAGGGGGAAGGGTTCGCTTTCCATTAACTGGGGAACATCCTCACATCAACGCTTGTTTTCCGTGGCAGCTGGCCACTTGGCCCACGACAGGCATGGAGCAGGAGAGAAGCGAAGGAGGCGCCTGGGTGGGGTTCCTTGCACGACCTCTGCACGTTCCTTCGGGTTCCCTTCCCTCAGCTGCATATCGAAGACACGTCTGGAGCCGGTCTGGGCGGCGTCTGGCTCCCCAGATGTTCCATGGATTCCACATCTGGCCCTCCGTAGCTCAGCCGGAGGGAGCCCGGAAGCCGTCTTCAGCAGCCTCTGGGCCACTGGCTCCCCCTTAGGGATTCTGTCCCTCCGGTGCCGAAGGGGCCCTGGGTTGCCTCTCCCTGTGCCTGAATGGCCCTCACGGGTCAACGGCAGGCAGAGGCCTCCAGTTCGACTGCAACCAAAGCGCACGCAGGACGCTGGGCTTCTCGCTGCTGATGTGATGCAGAGGATCAGGTTGTTGTCAACATGCAGCTCCTGCCAGGGAACAAAAGCCGGCCGTGCCACAGCGAGGTTACGTTTCCACCGCAAACGTAGAATCGCAGTTGCAGAAAAGCGGAATCCGATCCCAGGCCCTCCACCCTCCTGTTCCTGCTGGGGAGGAGAATGGCCTCCTGTGTCTTTTCCCAGGCAAGGGGAACTCTTCCGGGCACAGCAATCCGCCCTCAGAGTACTAGAAGTGCAAACCTGGCTGCTTTATGGAGGCTCCTGTTCCTCTCACCTCCGGTTACCTACCCCAAGCACAGCAGCCCAGGTAAACTCCCTCCCCCGCCCTGCAGGAGCAGCATATCTCGCATCTGGAGGCGAATCTGCAAGTAAAGACAAACGGCTCCATAATCTTTTATTGTGGCTGAAACAAAAGCCATGGCTACCTACCTGGGTCTCAGCCCCAGGCCAAACCACCTGGTTCATCTCACCTGTATCAAAGGAGCCCCCTTTTAACTGCCTCTGGTTATGAGGCCTTTGAGCCCAGGCCCAGGACATCCTAGAGGCATAAACCAGGAAGTTTATAATATTCCCTTGGGACAAGCCAAGCTGTAAATTACCTAAATGAAGATCTTCCTGTGGCATTTATAGCAGGAGAAGCTTCCTTGGCAGGTGAGGCAGAGGCTGGGGCAAGGACATCCCGGCAGGGTTGCAGCTGGAGAAAGCCGGACAGTGAGGCCACGTGGCCAGAAATTGCCAGCAGGGTCAAAAGATCTCCCCACCTCTGAGAAAAGCTGCAAGCCCCCCCCCCCCCCCCCCGCACATCTCCTTGTTTAGGAAAAGCTTGTGGAGCTACCTGGGAGGCTGAGGCTAAGTATTTGGTTGCCAGGGTTGCGAATAGATAGAGGTAGTAGATAACAATTAATAATGATTTTGTAATCAATTCCAACAATGATCTTTAAGAAGATTCTCAAATAGTTAAGAATAATAGTTAAGAACATCCACATTTGGGGGATTCTTCAGTGTTTGGGTGCCCAGGTTTCACGATCTTCCGTCAAAACTACAGGCAGAAGAAATGTAGTTAATAGAATTTATTCCGTTGGTTCTCTGTCTTCCCCTGAATTTTGATCATGCTGTCCGTTTGTTCAACAGTCAGCCTTGTTTGGCCAGAAAATGATTTTTTTTCACCTGTGCTCTCAGAAAAAAAAAAAAACAACAACCAAGGATCCCTTGCACTAATTTATCATTTCAGTATTCTGGATTTTTAACCTCCGCAGGTGCCTAGAGCCTGAGACCAAACTTACTTTAAATAGGTAGAGATAAAACTATGGCTGTAAATAATTTATCCTGAGAATGCCCATTGTATATTAAATTTCACAACCCTATTTTATCAAAGGCATTCTGTCTGGTCGATTTTCTAATCCCTTTTAATTTGCATTCTAAATTGTATCACACCAATTTCTCATCAATGGATGATGGGATTGATTTATTTTTACAGATTTTGTGATTCTCATAGCTACTACGGGATTTACTTACTGTTTTCACCTCTTTTCAAGGAGTTATAAGTACTTTTCCAGCTACAAAATGTATAAAACTGGGGAGACTTTATCTCCAATGAATTTTCATGGAGATAAAATATATGTGAATCTCCTATCTTACTGGAAGTATAGACAGATGCTTTTTTAAAAAAAAACAAACCTTAACTTCTAGTATCAAGAAGGGTTACTGTATATTGCAGGTTTTCTTCCAAGCCAGATTGATCCTTGTTTATGTTCCAGTCATAGACTTGCTACGTTGAGAAATGCAGATACTAAGATTTTAACAGTAACCATAGATTACAT